CGACAAGCATGGGTTGCTGAAGGCCAATATTCTAACGTGGACCTTCACGGGTCGTATCATGTTAGAAACATACGTAACAACTTTCTGTCTGCTGAGCCAATAAAACAATGTGAGGCAGGGTGTTTGGTAGTGAGGAATGTAAAACAAAAACATCTTTCAACATGGCCTTACAACATAATTACAACTGCTGACAGATGATGATAAGATAGTGCAGTCTCACACTTTAGTCACTGGCCGTTTTTAGCAATATTCCAGCAACATCACGGCAGGGGACACCACAAATGAGCTTCACACATTGTGCCCATGTGGGGAATCGAACCAGGTCTTCGGCGTGACGAGCGAACGCTTTAACCATTAGGCTACCCCACCGCCCCACCAAATCTAGAGAGTGAGTCTAGTTTTATGCTGTTTTTAAACGAAATTCCATCCCTATCATGACAGAAGTCCCCCAAAATGGGCTTCACACATTGTACATGTAGTAAATCAAACCCATGTCTTTGGTTACACCACAGCCACACCAAATCTAGTAAAATGTCCTTATGTCAACACAATAGTCCATGACACTACATCTACTGGGAATGATGCCAAAAGGTGTCAAAGTCAAAGGGGATTTGTCCAGACCAATAATGCTGACTTGACAATATTTCACATTAGTATGGACACACCTATCAATATAAATAATATCACCATGTCAGTGAAACATTTATCATCAGCATCTATTAGAAAGGGAAGCCCCATTCATTCCGTTACAAGGAATATTCATGACAGTCTTTCACAGCTGTTGAAATTATGCCAGTTCATTAACTTCAAAGACTTAATAAAAATCAGTGGTAAGTTAGAATGATAAACAGTAACATATCTGGACTTGTAGACTACCAACTAGTCTAAGTTTCTTGTAAGTGCAGTGAAACTACAAATGTAAAATCTATCAAATACAAAATCTTTCTGACAGTACTACATAGGATATGATTCATATCATGAATGAACCCATCAAACCACATCGGACATCCACTTCCCTGAGGAAACAAATACTTCAACCACTGCCACCACAAGTATGCAATATAAACAATATCCTCCCCCTTTAATATAAACACTGTTGTAACATGTGGTACTGTGATTCACCAAACAACATGTGCTACAGATTGAAGACTGATACATCTTATGTAGGCTTCACATGTTACACGTTATATACAACTGTTGCACAGTTCATTACTATGACCGTCAGATGGCCCATATCAAAATTATACAGTAGGAGATTTTAACTTTTTGGTAGGCAATTTGATGTGGCTAGAACATGATCAAATTATTAAAAAGAATTCAGGGCAACTTCTATTTCCTTTGTTTACTGTTTAACAGAGTTAAAAAATAACAAAGACGTTGCCCATAAATGTTTCATGTCTTCATTTACATGAAGACTATGACATTCAGTATGACAATGAAGCTCACTGAAGCTCATTCTGTGCAAGAAACTAATGAGGTCCTTGAAGTTTTTGTATGTTGTTGTTTTGTAATCAAACCTTTAGTGAAAAACATTAGGGATATGAAAAGGACCTCTAGACATCCATCCTTAATGTCTAACACTGTCTTCCCAGGAACTATACTTCAAGATGAGTACTTCAAATTCTTAATTCATCACACATGTGGGAATTCTTCTGCTGGTCTGGTGATCATGAACAAAGACCACCTCACACTAATGTATTAACCAATCTCTCCACAGATGGCACTGGATCTAGGGCAATAAATCAACACCACAGAATTGGTCACTTCCTGCTAGTACAAGACTGTCTATGCCTGATAGTTGGGTTTAGCACAAATTTGAACAATATTTCTGTCATCTCATGGTACATCAGTTTGACAGAAGAAACAAAAAATTGACCTAAAACCTGATTCTGTCTTTGAAGCAATCTTCCTAGTAGCTCTGATATTTCCATATAATCCACTGGACTAATATTAGTTTGATAGAAACTAATAATTAAAGGGCCCCTGTGAGATGGGAGATGCAAAACCCAAGGACTAGCTTCATTTAGGGCTTTTACATTATAAGTAAAAACAATATGGTTCAGGCCCAATCAGGGACGGTGAGACGGAATCATAAACCATGAGACTTAGACTTCTCGGAAAAAAATAAGATTGATTCAAATAGAAAAGGGGCCCTTGTGAGAAGGAAGATGCTTCACAGAGCTCCAGATAAGATTTAAGTGGGTACTGTACCCACTGTATTTTTTTTTGGAGTGGGTATTATGAATGTTGAATGGGTATTATGAATGTTGAGAGGGTATTTCATTTTCAGTTACTCACTGCTTTCAAATATGTGCGTATTTCAGTCATTTTACTCACCTAAGTATTATGTCATTGAGTAAGTTTACTAAGCAGGTATGTTCTGCCTTATGTCATACCTAATCAAAACCAACTTAAATATAATGGAAATGATTTCATTAAAAATCACTCATCCTATACTAAAGTACAACACTTGTCCTATACTAACAGTACAACTTGATAGTAATCGATGTCCTTTTCATTACGCAAGCGATTTTTATAAATATATTCCGTACGCATTTGTTTTAAACTTTTTGCATATTTATCATTTTAAATGTGTAATTGGTACCCAACAATTATTTTCAATGCGTAATTGGAAATTTTATATGCATATTTTACCCGGATACGCAGCTTATCTGGACCTCTGCTTCATTTAGGGCTTTTGCATTAGTAAAGGGAACAATATGGTGGTTCAGAAACTGTGAGAAACATTTATAAAACCACCAGTTGCATGCAGTTCATAGTCTCCCTGTAACACACTCCAGATGGCTTACAGCAGCTTCAGTCCCCAACCCCTGGAAACTTAGTCTTGCTTATCTGTTCTTCAGTAGCCAGGATCCTGACCCCCTTATCAGTTCCTTCTCCCCTCCTCTTAGAGCTCCCCCCTGCGTAATGAATTCCCCACCCCCTCCCCTTGATGTGTCAGAGATAAAGTTGGGCCCAGGGCTCCAGCTCTGCTATCAGATTCTGTTGCCGTTTACATAAACAGTAGATTGACACAAAATCAGCTGTTATTAACAGTTCTTTCTTTGTCTTGCACTCTTTGTCAGTGTTTCATGATAAAGGAAACCTCCATTATATAATCTTATAGAAGTTTATCCCCTGTTTTCCTGAGCAAGATATACAGATTAAAAACAGATCAAAATAGCAGCAACTGACACAGATTCTGGAAAAATTGTGCTTATACGACATATTCCTTCACGCTTTCAATGGAAGAATTCCTCAGCTAGCCTGTGTGATCTACAGCTGATGTGTAGAGAAGAGACACAGTACAAGGGGAACACAAAACACATTCTGTAATGTAAAACACACATTGATCATTTTCCAAAACTAAACGTAATATGGTTTCAAATAGTCTCTGGTTAACAATGGGGAGGGTTCTAAGGATAGACAACTTCTTTATTATCAATGTGAGCAATGTTTCAGTGTAGCTGCGTTATCAAGCATCACACCAAATTCCAAATGCCACTCAAAGAAGTTATTCCCTGGCTGCAAGGTTGTCCTTTTCTTCTATACATGTTCCTATTCCTATATCATGTTCAGAACAACACAGGATGTATTTAGATGGTTTGATGCCCTCAAAGTTTGCTCCTATTGTATTTGGATTTGGGGACCTTAATCTTTAAACTATTATGAGATTAACATTATGTTATTGACCTTTCCACTTCTGTACTTAATCTTGAACTCTGCATACCAGATAATTTAGCTGGAATTTTGGAAAGACTTCCACCCATAGGAAAAATTTCCGCCCGTAACCCCCATATTTTTTTAATCATGCTATGCTTAAGAATATAGGCCTATCTTAATTAATAAAAAGCCTAAAACTAACCCTAAACCCTCAAAATAATCCTAATAAATAGAATACATTTATACATCAAGCAGGGATTACGGGCAGAACTCTTACCCACCCGTATCTCCCCTTCTAGTCAAATCATATTACCTGAAATATATATATAATCTTTTTCCTCATCATTAAATTTTTTTAATACTGTATCACAAGGTTAATACATTTATCTGTCACTGTGTTTAAGAAAATAAATACGATATTGTTATATCCAGGGGCTGAAATAATGTAGTACGAATATATGCTGGGTTATAACAAACAATAGTCACCAGTTTCTTTCAGAGGGATAGGAAAGAACAATGTTGCAATAATTAGTTGCTAATAAACAGGCTTTTCCGACACCCAATCTAAGCCAAGCATATGCATCACTGCCCCTATACAACAAAGGGCAAGGAGTGCTGTGAGAGGCTTACATATTATGTAACTAACTGTGACCTATTGCACCTCCACTAATTGTTCCCTACATGTGGAAAGTCAGCATATTGAAACTGGCATTTAATTGGAGGGACCTCAATTAATCACTATGTATTATTTCTGTTAAGTTTTTATTTACATGTTAACATGGCTGATAACTAGGAATAGTACACACTTGATTTGATATAATGTTTTAAGTTGTATTTTTATTCATGGTATAAATATATTACAGTATTTATCTCATAATTTAAGTCTTATTGATGTTAGTTTCCACTTTACTTACTATCAAAACAAATGTTATCAATCATGAAATTGCTTTTGATTTTTATAAACATATTTTTCATATTAATGGCCACAGTTGAGTCCTGAAAAGACTGTTACTTTATTCTTGTTAATATTTGCAAATTCTTGGGTGATAAACACCAACGTAACGCAACTTTCTAATTAGTTTCTTATAAAGTATGTGAATAATTAATTATATTTTTTACTTTTCAGAATTTAGTATCAGATACACAACAGTGGGGTGTCAAACTTGCTTAAATGCTTTTTGAATGATTAAAGTTTCTCTAAGTAACGCTGTCATTAAAAGTTAAGTAAGTTTAATTACGTATTATAAGTTTGTATAAGTGTATAAAAAGTGTAGTTTTTTTATTAAAAGTGATAAAAATAGATAGAATTGAGAGTCAACAATGACAGCAGTACTTACTGAGACTAAGAGTAAGGTTGACAACGTTCGGGTACTGAATCCCTTCCAACATCGTCTCCGACTGCCACCACGTCCAGTTGTAGTTGTTGTTGAAGTCTGTCATAAACTCGGGTGGATGGTTATACCCGGGTCTTCTGGCGTCACAGTAATAGCAGGACTTGGTAGCTCCCGTTACTCCTGTCTGCAGACAATATTCGTTGGTGGAAGAAACTCCGCACGTATTTGTGGCGTCCACTGGCAGTCCAAACGCTGCATTCACAAACTCAGGCATACACCGCTGAGCTCTATTCTGATGATCATAACAACTGCTTCTGCCTCTTGGAGGGTCCTCTTGGGCATCGCAAGTCCTCATCAAAAGTCCCAGACAGATGGCTAAAACAAAGGAAACCATCTTCCCTCGAGTATTTCCATTCGAACAACTTTTCAAAGTTGTCTGTCGCAACCCGGCTGCACTGTACGCCGCCATTACTCTCTCACGACCAAATCACCACTGCATTGTGGGTAAAAGGGGATGTCTTTTTGCTGAGCGAAGGCTTTGCAGGGTTACCGTAAACCTTCCTCGTGGGATCGCGGCCTACTTTGTGTGCTTCTCTTTATGACAGAAAACTAGGCACCCAAATGAGCGATGCCACTCTAGTGTACTTTACCTTATTTGCTAGTTACGCAACTATACACGGTAAATCACGCACACAGTACACTTACATGAATCGCTCCACCGACTTCGAGTGCTGCTCGTCTCACTATGCCCTCTGGCCAAGATTTAGAGTAATTCATTTGTTTTATGTAGCAAGAGAATTCATTCTCCTTATGTCGGAAGTGAATTCATACGCCGTGTTGAATATTTCAATTTTTGAGAACGGTTTGAATGCATAATAATATTCATTCAGTGTTGAATAAACTTTAAGGAATTAGTTCAAAATAAATGTATATGTTAATAACTGTAATTATGTCTCTTTCGAGTTTCGAGTAAACAGAATGCATCAAACCAAAATTCTTTACTTGTGCTTCAGACTAATTAATTATTCAGTCAGTGCATCCCAGTATTTGAACTTCTTCGTTGTCAGGGGAAGGGGTAGCCTAGTGGTTAATGCCCATTTCCCCCGCGTAAAACCTCACTCACTCACTCTTCGTTGTCGGGCCGCGGTGTGAGGACCAGCTTGGACATATACAATATATGAGGACCAGCTTGGACATATACAATATATGAGGACCAGCTTGGACATATACAATATATGAGGACCAGCTTGGACATATACAATATATGAGGACCAGCTTGGACATATACAATATATGATGCTTTTCAAATATATGTTACCACATTCTGACCTGACATTTAATACATTTACGATCGCCTCCGTGGTGTAGTGGTTAGAGCGTCCGCCCGGAAAGCGGAAGGTCGCGGGTTCGATCCCCGACCACGTCATACCTTAAGACGTTAAAATATGGTACTTGTTGGTCCCTGCATGGCGCTCGGCATTAATGGGTACAACAAGGACTGGTCGGCTCGGAGTCAGTATAATGTTTCTAAGTGGGGTATTCATGCTTCACTGCGGCATGGTATCTCAGTGGGCTAGCACTATAAAACCAGCTTAAGTCTGGTCTAGTACAAACAGCCGCACATACACATACACATGCATGCACGTCGTCATATGAGCGAAATATTCTCAAGCACGACGTTAAACCCAATTCACCTCACCTCACCTAATACATTTACGTTACGCTTAACTAATAATTATGAAATGATAATGAAATATGAAAGTTTGAACATGTCTTGTTAAGCTGACAAAAGAAGAGTTCAGTTTGCACTCACGATACAGCCACAGACAGCCCTGAGTGAGTGAGTATACTTTTTTTGCAATATTCCAGCAATATCACGGCGGGAACACCAGAAATCGGCTTCACACATTGTACCCATATGGAATCGAACCCGGGTCTTGAGCGTGACGAACGGGCGCTTTAACCGCTAGGCTACCCCACCGCCTCATTCAGCCCTGAAGATGCATGAGACAACGTGAATCAATAGCATGCTGATTCCACCAGCGTCACTTTCAATAAGTTTCAGAAAGATATTTATTAGTTTGAAAAGTTTGAAGACAGGATAAAGTCATTGACAGCACTTCTTTATTTAAGGGCTTCTAACAAGTGAAAAATCAGTGAAAACATTTTATAGACAAAATAGGATGTATCTTACAAGTTGTGTTATTTGTTTCATCATATAATTTGTTGAAAATATATAACCCAAATGAGAGCGTCTTAGTATTGTTGACCGCCTCCGTGGTGTAGTGGTTAGAGCGTCCGCCGGGAGTGCGGAAGGTCGCGGGTTCGATCCCCGACCGCGTCATACCAAAAGACGTTAAAATATGGTACTTGATGGTCCCTGCCTGGCGCTCGGCATTAATGGGTACAACAAGGACTGGTCGGCTTGGAGTCAGTATAATGTGTCTGAGTGGGGTATTCATGCTTCACTGCGGCATGGTATCTCAGTGAGCTAGCACTATAAAACCAGCTTAAGACTGGGCTAGTACAAGCAGCCGCATATACACATACACACGCATGCACGTCGTCATATGAGCGAAATATTCTCAAGCACGACGTTAAACCCAATTTCACCTCACCTGACCTTAGTATTGTTACAATCTTACTTAGGGTATATGAGTGAGTGAGTTTAGTTTTACTCCACACTCAGCAATATTCCAGCTATATGGCGGCGGTCTGTAGATAACTGAGTCGGGACCAGACAATCCAGTGATCAATATCACGAGCATCGATCTGCGCAATTGGGAACCGATGACATGTGTCAACCAAGTCAGCGAGCCTGACCACCCGATCCCGTGTGTCGCCTCTTACGACAAGTTTGGGTTACTGAAGATCGATTCCTACCCGTTCCTTCACGGGTATAGGGTATATGCATTTTACATAATAGAGATAGTGAGTGAGGAGTTTGGACAAACTACATGTATAAGTTTCAAGTGATTCCGAGTCATGTAGTTCGCAAACTGAGCAATTTGTTTGACATATCCGAACAATATCAGGCCACGCCCACTAAGAGACTTCTGTTACCTGATTGGCTGACAATACAATTGACCAGGATTACTACGCTGAACGATGCACCTTATTTCTTATTGTTTTCTAGTTTTATGATGATTAAGTCAGCAGTCTGTGAAATTGTTATTATTTACTTGCTTGTATCAATTTATTTCATTTGTTTAAATGGAATATTAAAATACAAACCGATGTGCCCACTTTAAGTTTCTTACACACTTCCACTTCACAAACGCGAAATATATTTTTAAACACACAGAATGGTTACTATACACCTTATATGACTTTGTGGAGCCTTGTGGGAATGGAGAAATTAAACAAGTACATGAAACGAATGAGCCGTGATTTACCCGGCAGGAACGGTGAGTGAGTGAATATTAACGTCGCATCAGCAATGTTGCAGCTATCCGCGGCGATTGTCAGGAACGACTGTTGTTATTAAGCATATATGCTTATATGGACGAGTGAGCTGGGTTATAACCGGTATATCACGTCTTATCGCTTTTATAACTTTGATAAATACTAGGGGTGGGTATTGCAGCGAATTTTCAAATTGCGAGATATTGCGATGCGAAAGCATGTATTGCGATATGTATTGCAACATATTGCATGAAGTATTTTTAAACAAAAACTACTTATAATCGAGGTATTGCTTGATTTATAGAACAAATACACAGCAAAATCACTATGCTTCATTAAGCTTTAATAACAACTTTTATTCATGATTAAAATAAAAATGTGAATAATATTTGGCACAAATGAAAAACGGAAATATCCGAAGATTTCCGAGTTTTACGAAGTTTTCCGAATGCAAGTCAAAATACTGGTTTTCGATCAGCGTATCGCAATACGTATCGTTTTCATGTCTGAACCGGTAAATACCGGTAAACCTAATAAATACACACGAGTTCATAACCAGAGACATTAGGATACGACGCCACCGACTCCAGGATAATCCAAGGGAATTAACTCTGTATGTCGTGTTGTGGCAGTGGGCGACAACGCGTGTGCATGTGTGCACTCAGTGCTAAGTCAAGGTGACGTGCATACAGGGATCTTATAAAAACGTATTGTAAACTTCACAAATATGATTTATACCAGTTTCTATTTTCAATGAATCCCACGTTACGCTCGTCATGAGAAATACGGTTTATGGGAACAGCCAAGCGGAATACTTTACTGACACTGGATATAAATCACTCACCAAGCTTTGTGTGTATCGGGTTACTGTCTCGCTCAGCATGGGAGCCAGACACAGCTACTGTCATCAATACGAACATATATACTATGTACAAGTGCATTGTTGCATGGGACAACCCTCTCGCACCGGCTGCACTCAAAGTACAGATTAATGTAGTAACAGCTATTGAAAAAAGTAGTTTCTCGTTCTGTGATCTATTGATAGGACGTCCTGAGGCGGAGGGCTTTAAGCGGCTATTTTCAAATGACTTGAACATTTTCACACAGGAGGCCTTACAACTACTACCATTATGTTAGCTTTGATGGAGTTTTGCGCAACTTTTAATTCCCTTTTTTTATTTCTTTTTCGCCAAACTTGGCACACATTACGAGTCTTCAAGACGATAATATATAGTTTTGGATTTTGAATTTCTCAATCATGACCTTTGTCTTGCACATCAGCTTTGTAATATATGTGTTTTAGGAGCTCCATTGGTATTTGGTGCAACCCTTTTGAGAAGGGTTTGTGGCCGTTTGACTTCTGAATGAATTGCGCAATGAAAGAGTTCGTTATCTGCATGCTGTTTAACGCCCCACTCAGCAATATTCCAGCTATATGGCGGCGGTCTGATAATAATCTAGGCTGGACGAAAAAATTCAGTGATCAACAGCATGAGCATCTATCCACGCAATTGGGATACGATGACATGTGCAAACCAAGTCAACGAGCCTGACCTCCCGATGCCGTTTGTTGCCTTTTAAGAAGATCAATTCTAACCCGGATCTTCATGGGTCGTTTTAACAAGTAAAAAAAGATGACATGCAGTTCTAGTTTCACATTCCTCAAAAGGAGGTAGCTGTTTAAAAATATATAGGACACGCTGCACTTATCTTATTCAGTTTGTTTTCACTAAACAATCGGGTATTTGAATTATTTTCCCCAAACGCCTTTCGCAGGTTAATATGATATTTTAGACGCGCTTCGACGACTTTAACCTTTTCCGCTTTCTCTAAGTTAAATCATGAAGACTTACGATCTTTAAAAGAATTGCTTGACAGACACGATATGTATACATACATGTTTATCATCCAAAACTGTGTTCCACAGTAGACATCGCTTGTGTTAGATCAGACGATATCTCCTAGCAGATATCGTTTTGACAGTAGCTTTTGTACAATGGTCTGACAATGCTATGACGTCATGAACTTGTTGACGTCACAATGTTATGACATCGCTTCACTGCAAATCTAGTGGCAGTACTGTGTTCAGAGATGTACATTTTTCATTGA